TCTGAATCTGATCCAGACGTAGTCTTTCACAAAAACACTATTTTCCTTTCTTTTTTTCAAAATGTTGCTTTTTTTATTATTAAACTTAACCACATCCAAGTGTTGATAAAAAGAATGCATGAAGCTAGAATAAAACTTTTTTTCTTAAGCAGAGGCTCTGTTCTTTTTTTTAACCTATCACATATGTTCAAGTATTCTTACTACAAATTATTCTGGGGGCCATGCCAATTTTGTGAAAATGATCAAAAATGCTGGCGGTGGCTGGCAACTTTTAAAAAAAACGCTGGCAGGGAAAGAGTTAATGACACGTTAGTTTGCTACAAAAGTTAAATTTAAGAAGAACATATCGTAAATTGTAAATGCAAATGTAAATCATATCTAAAATACATTTTTAAATGTATGCATTCGGTGATGTTTGTGTGTGAGCGGTACCTGCTGTTGAGGCAGCAGTAGATGATGGGGTTGTACATGGAGGAGCTCATGGAGAGCCACAGCACTGACAGATACACCTGCTGGATCGACTTGATCCTCTTCAGCTTCCGGTTGAAGCTCGTTACGATGAAATACACATGATATGGAAGCCAACAGATGGCAAATGTTACCACCACGATCACCATCATCTTCACAACCTACAAAAACATCACAACAACCTTGGCCATAAAACTGAGAACACACACATACACACGTGTGCGCGGCCAACTACATTTAAAAAAATCAAATAGGCTAAAATATTACCAGTATTTCTGCTGTAATTATGACAAAACTGACTTCATATTTGACAGGAGACTTCAAGCAGGCCTCATTTGACTCAGACTAGCAAGCAGACTATAAATAGTGACATCTCAACCTCCTAGCCACACCATAGCAACCACCCCATAGACTTCCATTGAAAAGGATGAGAGGAATATCTCTGGTTCAGAACATTGTAGAGACAAACAGGTGGGCTCTTTGGACTCAGACTGCCTGACAACTGTCTAGCCACGCCCTAGCAACCACACAGCACCCTAGCAATCACTCAATAGACTTCCATTAAAAAGGATGAGAGGAACATCTCTGGATCAGAACATCGTATAAGCCATAGTTCAGCTCCAGAACACCGAACAGCATGTGCTTTCGCTTGTTTGACATAGCTGTCCATTCAAACATCAGAGTTTGTTCACTAACTTTAGCCTCTAGTTTATTAATTTAAGCCCCGGTTGAGAACCGCTGTTCTAAATGAACAAACGAAGATATGGATGATACATGAGAAGATCAGCAGAAGAGCACAAGCACCTTTCTCTTGGCCTGCAGGTGACCCTGGAGGTTTTCTGAGGAGCGTCCTGGAAATCCTCCGCCCCACAGCGTGAGTCCGACCCTGCTGTAGGTGGCAGCCATGAGCACCAGAGGCAGGAGATACACCAGCACTGCCACGATCACGTGATATCTAACAAACACACACATGCAAATCAACCTGTGACAGGGAACAGAGGGTTCACACTCAATGGAAACGACAGCTGTCTGTCTCTCACATGAAGGCGTCGTCATCGCGCCGCGGCCAGGCCACGTAGCACACCGTCCTGTGCGGCCTCACTTCGGTTATGGAATAGAAGCAGAGTGGAAAAGCCAGAAACGCAGCCAGAATCCACACGCATGCGATCATGCCTTTTGTGGCTGTTGCTGAGAGGCGTGGCTTCATCGGGTGGATGATCGCCATGTACCTGATCAAAGAGGAAGTGACACAGGAAGTGACCTGGATGTATTTCACCTGTACATCTTAAAAATAAAGGTTCTTTATTGGCATCGATGGTTCCATGAAGAACCTTCAACATCTTTCCATCGCACAAAAGGTTCTTTATAGAGGCTGATCGAGAGTGGATTTTACAGATAATTATAACTAGGTTGGAATGTTCAAGTTCAGTATCTAGTTTGTTTATTTCTAAGGCACATTTAAGCACGGATACGGTCGACTACACAATGAATGAGCAACAAACAAATTAAAAACAGGAAAGCCAAACACAACCACATATGTGACCCTGCAGCACAAAAGCAGTGTTAAGTCGC